GGTTTGTGTTGGCTTGTTGTACACTGCCAGAACGTGTTTCTGTGACTTTCTCATGAGCTTCCTGTTTATCCGCTTCAGAAGAATGAAAGGTTTAGCATAAAAATTAAACTGACAGATTAAAAATTCAGTCACCCAAAACAACATATTTATCTGAATTCAATGTCAAACGAACCTTTATCAAATTCCATAAGATGGCTAAATAAAAAAGGTACAAGAAAACTAATGGGGCATGGCGCATTTGGTTTAGGATTTTCAGAGCCTACTGGTTATATCCATCTATCGTCGAAGCCCGCTACTGCTTTCGGGTACTAAATGCAGCAGCTCTGAGAGCTTTAAACAATGTTCCAAGCTCTCTGTCAGCCAGGCAACCTTCGTGGGCAGAATATCAATGTTCAACAACATCAGGCGATTAATATACCTGAGTCATGTAATTCTTGAATGGCCAAGTGATCGTCTGCCATGTAGACTGCGAAGAGAGTAAACTGAATAGACCGAATATCAAAGCCACTGAAACTCCATATTTCCGGTCAACAGTTTTCTGCGTAAGTTTTTGGTGCATAATGTAACAGAACCAGCTCAGCTATTTCTGAACCTTTTCGCTTGTCGGATTAATGAGAGCTTATCTTGCACTCTTTGAACCAGCAATAACATTACCATTCCTTAAGCACCTATTAAGGCATTAGCATTTACAGCATGAAGCAAAATGTTCGAATTTAATTTTAGATTCAGGAAAAGTTCTGGCGTTGCAGCTTTAGAAACTAGCTAGAATCATTTATATTTTGTAGTGAATTTTTAAAATTAAAAAAAATTCTCAGCGATACATATTAAAAATTACATTAGTTCACTGTATTGCAAAAATTAAGAACAAATTTCACCCTGTATTTAATAGATTAATTGTCCTTTTTAGTGCAGTTTACAGGCAACAAGATAGTAAACAACAAGATACTCTGATCTGAATGAAGAAATGAAGAAAATGCGTATGCCTCGGTGCATTAAAGTGAATACGAAGAGAAATTAACACACCGAAGTTTGTTTAAATCATCTAGTCAAATACAACTTACAGACGCTGGCCGTACAAACAATTTTACCCTCCCTTCTGTTTGTGGTTATGTAGTCATCTACACACAAAATTTACCACAGCAGTAGGACTGACGATCGCCGATGAGTGAATGAATACGTCGCCTATAATTTTCGGTCCTGTTCCTTTCTGCTTCGCCAAACGTTCTGGGTGCGTAACGTGGTAAAGATGGAGGTAGTGACGATTTGCGTAGATGGCAGCGCTGAAGCACAAAACGGTGTATATTCAGCTGCGCCTGAATGGGCGAATGCGTTTTAACGTACGCTGCCGTTTTCAGTTGGCTCCACCAATTGGTCGTATGAAACGCAAAAAACACCTTACAGTCGGCCAACTTTGGAAACACGTCATTTTCGAACCACATGCTTTCCGGAGCTTCAGAATTCATCGAACTGAAAAGAGGTAATACTGCAAGCAATACCATCGTACAAGATTGTTGACGCGTGAATACTTGTTGCAGTTGT